GCAACAAAAAAAGAGAAAACTTGGGGTGAAAAACAACCACCAGCCTTTAGAGTGGAGTGATAAACAGTACAATACAGCACACACTTTTCCCCTTAAATACAGATATTTGGTAATCACTTAAATACTATATATTCTACCCTTCCCAGACCTGCAATGTAAATATGTCCTACTCAATTCTTTGAACTTCAATATTTACAAATTCAGAGCATCATCTCCAAACATGTTCTCTCTCACATGGAACAATTCACATCAGTCTCAGGGACATAAATACAAATACTAAAACAGATGTCTACACTCACCTATAAAACCCAAATCCTTATTAGTGTGCTACACAATGTTACTGGGAAATGTCCAAGACAAACCCGATAGCTTTATGATGGTTAGCTGAAAGGGCCGATGCTCCCTCAGGGCAGGAATGCTTGACTTCTCTTAACCCTCTAAAAGGTATTTAATTATCCTAGCAGCAAGAAATGTAATAAACTAACATTGGAAACTAATTATATACCTTACCCTACCACAATTTTATGGCAGGACAGGAGGCTTCATATTTGCTTTACCTTCTTTACTGAAACCTCCAGCAGCAAAGAAACAGTTAACAGAACTTTTCAAAACAACCAATCAGAACAAAGCAACAGTAGTATAAAACCCCTAAGCAGGCTCTTCCACTTCCTCTTTCTTTGCTGCTGCCTCCAGGTGAGCACTCACCAACTCAGTCTAAACAGTCTATTTAATCAGTCTATTTGCTAGGTTTGTTTAGGCAGCTTAATTGCTGGTTTTATTTGGGCAGGGTTCTTGCTGGATTTGTTTTAACAGTTTATCTGCTGTGTTTATCTAGGCAGTCTATTGCTGGGTTTAGCTAGGCAGTCTATTGCTGTGTTTAGCTAGGCAGTTTATTGCTGGGTTTAGCTAGGCAGTCTATTGCTGAGTTTATCTAGGCAGTTAATTCTGTGTTATTTCCTATATCACTTCATGCTATGTAGCTGCTGTATCTTTTGTTAACATCTGTTGCTGTATTTAGGCTATTTATCTGATAGACTCTGGATACTGCTCATTGATTTATTGTTATTCTGCAGTTTTTCTCACTCTGCTGTATGGGGAATGGGTGACCCTGATATGATGCTTTGGCTCTGCCTGTAATCTGTTCCCCTCCCCGGGTTCCCCTGCTGGGCTCTGTCGCCCATACCCTTCTCCCTCATTCCTCACTGGCTCCCTGTGGACCCTGGCCGCTTGCTGAGCAGCTTTTTCAACCGTGGCAGTGCTGCGCGATCACCACGCGGTAGGCCGCGCTTGGTTTTTGCAGCCGCGGCAGCCATTTTGTTGGAGCCACGGCAGCCATTTTTTGGAGCTGCGGCGGCCATTTTTCAGAGCCACATGGGCTCCGTGTGTTGCGAACAGCCCGGTCTCACCCACTGAATTGCCCTGCTGGCCATGTGGCCACTCTCCCTATATCAGGGGAGATAGCCCAGTTTTTCAGCTATCCCCCTACTTACTGTGCCTGTCTCACATGCTGCATATGTATCAGATCCTGGATAGCAGGATCTGTCCCAGGCACGCTCACAACTGCAGCTTACTATGATGTCTGATGCAATGTGACTAGGTTCTCTATCTTAGCAGTAGACTTGTCACGCTTTTTTACTAATTAAATGTGAATCTCAGATTTAAAGGGGCATGTTACTGCTCAAATAAAAAAATCATTGTTTACAAAAATCATTCTTTAACAAGACTATGCCACATGTGTTATATGCTAATCAAGTCTTTCTCTTAAGGTTCAGTCATTTTCTCATAAAAATTAAATGCCGTCTGCACTGCTGGACCGGCAATGTCTGGTTACTTTATTATACGGCTAACCACTATGGCACTACTGTACCTACAGTGTCCGATTATGTTCAGACTGAGGGTGACCCCCTCCCCTGCTGGCCTATACTGCATGGTATGCTTGTGCTTGTTGGGTGACCCCCTCTTGCACACTGGGTGACCCCTAGCTGGCCGCACCAGGTATCACCTCGACCATTTTTATTCGTCCTCTATGGCAGTAGTGCAATCACGAATGAAGGACAAATCTCCCGTACCCAGAAGGTCATTTGGCCTGTCCTTATTCCGGCCCGCTGACCTCACTGCCAGAAACCATCGGTACCCTACAGGGGACACTCCACCGGCCATCCTAGACGCTACACCAAGCAGCCCTGGTACTCGTTGGCTAACGGATGGATTTATCAAGAGGATCAGTCTTCATGACGGAGTCCGGAAAGGACACCGCAAACACCTGACACGGGGTTTGCACTCTATCTGGGACTAACCAGTGGATGTCGATGACACGCGGACACAGATGTTTCCTCGGGACGAACGGCGCGTTACAGCTTGGAAAGCGGAGAAGACTAAATTCCCACTGGGAATAGACCGATATGACTTATAGGTATCGCCTATTTGGTTTCTACCCCTGAGAACCGCAAAACGGCCCCTGTCCAAGGTGGACATCAAACTGATGGATTTGGCAACCAAGTGCTGGGTCTGCTCTCCGGAGTTATCCTCACGTACAAATTGAGCTGACACGTCTCTATTCATAGGGTTCCCCCTTAACTAGCCCCAGAGGTCCCTCGGACCGTGCTCGGACTCCGGATCAAGGTTGCGGAACCTTGGACCGTTCCATGAGCGATACGCATGACCAAAAGAGGTGTCCATTTCGACTCATTCCGCAGTTGCCCTGCTGGGCGAAGGGTGCGGTGGAGTGGACTCCCGCCCCATCCCCACGCTACATGCTCCCAGTGCATATGTCGTCTGTTGACACTTCGAGACGGAGGGCATTCATCCCCTCAGAGAGCTGCTCGGCATGGACGATTGGTTCTCTCCCTCAAATGCACATGAGAGAAACCCGCATGGATTTTGCCATCAACAAGGACATATTGAATCTAACTCACTCCCTGTCAACCCAGTTTCTGGTCTTTCATAGAATATTCGGTCCAGGCGGTGCTCCGCCTCCCGAGGACCAAGATGTCCGTCTTCAATGAAAATACCAGGTATATGCTCCGCAACCCTCGGGTCACACTTAGGGGCCCAACCCAGTCAATTGACCGGTTGCTATTCGCCATGGAAGCCATGCCTCCAGGATCCGGTACTATCAGCCGCTCCAACATGACGCTTTCACTGATTATAGGCCTGGTATGACCGAATCATGTGACCTTCGGATGAAGCTCATCTAGAACTTAATTGATGACTCCGATATAGGGGAACCTGTCATACCTAGGAGTTTCGGACCCCAACCAACTTCGCCTGGACTCTGGAGTCCGGAGGAGGGACCTCTTTACGCCAACTGCATGGAACTACCTGCAGGTTTGTTCAACATTCACAGTATTGCTCGCTACCTTCTGGCATGGACTTTTCACCGGTTGCCCACAACGGACAGCAGTCGCATCTCAGGGAGGATCGCTATCTACAGCTTCTGGACAAGTATTCGTCATTTGTGACAGAATGTCTGCGGGACGAGACACTCATGTGGCGGACGGCTTCACCCGACCATGGAGAGACCCCAATGATTGGTTGCCTCACCCTCCGGGGTCTCGAGTACTGGCATGATTACATTCGGTGCGAACTACCATACGCAGCAGTTCTCCAGCTGGCTGCCGGACCCTCAGTGAGGCGAGGGACAAGTTTTCCAAGCTTGGTCTCCTTCGGGGCGTACGCATCCCGTTTACTTACAGGATACTTTGGGTTTTGCTTCAGACCGAATTCCTGGAAGTGTCGTTTTGCCTGGCCAAACCACTTCGGAGGAGTCCTGCGTGCTTTCCCCTTTTTGCTGGAGTTTGCCATGGGAAGGCAATCTACGACTCCCTGTCTCTTAATGTCCCATGTGGGATCCACAGGGGTAGCCTGCCATGACTGGTGTTTGGGTCCCTATGGCGGTCCTTATCATGGCTGTCCCCATTGTCTGGCTGAGTTGCCCTCTCAGGGTAGGATCGTATGGGGCCATTCACGTCCTGTGTCAGCTAGTGGACGACTCGTGCATTTTCTCAAGATTCTGGCATTGCTAAGGATCTCTTGGTCTGCAGTCTACCAAGAGGAGTATACCGTACGGGAGCCCTATCTCTCGTTATTCCTCAAGTCTAGTGCTATCGTGTGTTCTGCATTTCATTGAGGAATGACCTGATGACAAGGACTTGCCTTGCACCAGTTTTTTCCACTTACAGTTTCCCCCAGTACATCTTGTATTTCATCGCGTTCTGACGTCATGGTATCGACGTAGTGTCTTCTTCCATCTTGCCGTTCAGTACATCGGCTTCTGCTCCACACATATTTCATTTTTATTCGTCCTCTGTGTCGTACCCCTATTCTCCAGATAGGCCATGGCTCTGTTGACAGATTGTACACGACCATGTAGATCCAGGATCTGGTTCTTTCGTCCATCTACTCATGGACAGCTGTTTATTTCTGCGTACGGCCGTTTTGGACTGTTTCTGCATCTTCGCTCGCCCGTTGGATTTGGTGGATCCTCTCATTGACTGACCTTGAGTTCCTCTGGAACACTTTTGGTTCGGGGTGCTGTCACCTCAACAACTTTGGAAGCCGTTGGGTCCCTTCTGAATTTTCTCTACACCGCTGCTTGGTTTAGGGAATCGGCTTTTCCATTCTCCTTTTATTTCAGTCCTCCTATCTCATATTGCTTCTGGTTCTACTATTTGGGCATTAAAATTGCAAATATGAAGCCTCCTGTCCTGCCATAAAATTAGGGATTATTCTAGCCTCGGTGAGGGAATAATCTAAATTTTATTACAGACAGGAGGCGAATATTTCCCCCCCTTTTTTACGTTCCCTCCCTGGATTTGGGTTTTATTCTATTATAAATAATTGGGGGTATTGTTATGTTTTGTGAATGCATGGTTTTACATAATAAAGGTTATTTCTAATATTCAGTGATGATTGTCCATGTGCGTTTTATTCATGATGTTTGTGTTGTAATTATGTTTCGTCAATGCCTTTTAGTTTAGGTACATACTAGGTCTTCATAAGATCTGTAGACTTTGTTTATTCATCAGGTATTATGATGTGCAAGTGATATTGTATGGATATGACCTCTTGCCTTGACAGTTTACTTTCACGATGTTTTTCTGTTTTCTTGCAGTGTAATCTGTTTTCTCTCTGGGCTTGACGATTGTTTCTACGGATGTGTCTGCTACAAGGTGGATTTGTTGGTTTCCTTGCTCTCCTACTCGACCTCATCAAAGAAAGAGGAAGTGGAAGAGCCTGCTTGGGGGTTTTATACTACTCTTGCTTTTTTCTGATTGGTTGTTTTGAAAAGTTCTGTTAACTGTTTCTTTGCTGCTGGAGGTTTCAGTAAAGAAGGTAAAGCAAATATTCGCTTCCTGTCTTTAATAAAATTTAGATTATTCCCTCACCGAGGCTAGAATAATCCCTAATTAATAACCAAAATCAATCAATATTATGTGTATGAAAAAATATCAGTTGGCACTGCTAAGCAACAGCTTTAACACCACACATAGAGAGAAACTGAGAATGGACTCCCACAAATTGTGAAGGAAATTATGTTATTCAAATGACACTATGGCCAGAGACCAGTAGCATATGACTGTGGACTTGGGATAGGGAGATACCTGACCCACAAGGAGCTCCAACCAGCGCATGTAGATGGGAGATATAGTGATGAATGGGCCATAATGAAAACTAAACACCATGCCTATGAAATGACTTGCAATGTTTCTTTATGTGAATAAGATACACTATGCACAATCTGTTACCGTGTTCACCCCCCTTTTTTTTTTCATTTTTTGTTATTCAACAAATTACAACAAATACTTAGTTGATTATAGTACAGTGTATACAACTGCAATAAACAGTTGTGTATTTCCAAAAACAATAATATTCAAAAAAAAAAAAAAATAAGACACTGGGCATAATGTTATTCTTTCCTCTATTAATTTTTTGAATATATTAACAAAGCCTTCAATCTGGTAAGAAAATGTATATGCTACTTTGTGTTATAGTTTAGGATGATCAACTGAATATGGTTTGAAATTTACAGAATAAATCTGTCCTTTCCTATAAGAGTTTTTCCAAAGTTTAACCTTGTAGTTCGTCATGACATTATGGAATAAAGAAGACAGCTTTATCTGTGAAATGTAAAAGAGAGATGCAAGAATAGAGAAAGATAGATAAGAATAACTAGAAAGATCAGAAAAGGTAAGACATTCTCAGGCTTAGTACTTAGTTACATTGGAAACATACGTCATACCCGTTCAATTTCTCTCCAATATATTACCATATATTAAGCATTTTGTCAACGGATAAAGTAGTTTTAAAACCTTATCAGACTCTAACAACAGGTTATCTGCAGGATGCTATCCTACATAAAAGTAGATAGTAAAGTGAATTTTGTGAAGAGCAAATATAAGATATTCATTTGACAATAACATCCTACTCACATAATGATAATACCTATCATTTCAACTTCATCTATAAAATGTGAATTAATGAGGACAGAAATTTGTTATGGTGTTAAAAAAAATAGAGGAAACTGAATGGTTATTTACTAAAGTAAGAATTCAAAGTTAACTTCAAACTCAGAACCAGAGTAGCCAAACTGAAAGCTTAGGTAACATAGACGATTTTTCTATCTTGGCTATTTTGATGTTGAGCAAAAAAAATAAAGAGCAGCCCAAATATCTAAAATATAACTATTATTGAATCCTATTAAAAAAAGATAAAATGAAACAAATATATTTATATATCAAGTCTAAATACTAAACAAACTAATTAGTCTGAATAATAAACAAACTAATTCCATCAAAGGTAAAAAAAAGTGTGATAGTCTGAATACAGTGCTGAAGCTCACCAATAGCCTTATACTGGAACAATTGCAGAAAGTTCTAGTAGTCAGTAAGAACTTGTCTGGCAGCAACAATCTATAAAAATATACAATATGAGTACATCCCTCACATTTTATTATATCTTTTCATGTGACAACACTGAAGAAATGACACTCTGCTACAATGTAAAATAGTATACAGCCTGTATAACAGTATAAATTTGCTGTCCCCTCAAAATAACTCAACACACAGCTATTAATGTCTAAACCGTTGGCAACAAAAGTGAGTACACCCCTAAGTGGAAATGTTCAAATTGAATTGTAAAAAGAGTACTGGATACCAGAAACCAAAGCCAGACATCTCCGCAGAACATGACATGATGTGACATAACTCCCCTCTTAAGGAGCAACATCTGGGCGCGACAAGCAGCTCTCAGGCAGAGACCAGGAAAGAAGCGAGGATCTAGCAACTAAGTCCTCAAGACTTACCGGAGGCAAGGATTCCCCGACACAGCAGGAAAGTAGTTTGCGGCTCACAATGCCATTCCGAACTACTTTACTTCCTTTGGAAAGGTCTCCTGCAAAGGAACCACCAGCCAGGACCAAGATCCACTCCAGAATAGGAGCACTGCCACGAAACAGGAACCAAGCATCACAAGAGAACACCTGAAGCAACCACCGTACCGTTAGCAGATCGACCTCCTCCATGACAAAAATAAGGAAGCCATCTCCAGCAGACTGGTCCAGATACAGGATCTCTTGCATGCCAAATAACCAACAGGAACTTGTTCCTAGAACAAGGAACCAGGAGCCAAGCATCACAAGAGAACACCTGAAGTGACCACCGTACCGCTTAGCAGATCGACCTCCTCCATTACAAAAAATAGGGAAGCCATCTCCAGCAGAATGGTCCAGATACAGGATCTCTTGCATGCTGACCAGACAGGAACAAAAGCAGGACAGGAAAGCTGCAAGGTCCACTCCACGAACTCGAAGTGCCTACGGCCATACTGTCACGCAGGCCCGGACTGGCCATCGGGCATACTGGGCAAATGCCCGGAGGGCCTCGATGGCCGTGGGGCCGAGGCCAGCAGGGGAGATCACAAGATCTCCCCTGCCAGCCCCTACAGGGCCAGCGCTATCCGAGCGCCGGCCCTGCTGTGTGCTTCCATGGGCCGGTGGGGAGATCAAAGATCTCCCTCACCGGCCCACAGGCAGTTACAGGCGGCCGCCGGCTGCCGGCTGGGGAGTGAGGGAGGGAAGAGAGAGGACCCGGCAGAGCTCTAACAAGCAGCTCCGCCGGGTCCTCTCGCGGCATTCTGAGCGTTGCCGCGGTTACCACGACAACGTTCAGATCTCGCGAGAGTGAACTCTAGCCTGCGGGTTAGAGTTCACTCTCACCGCTGGACCACTAGGGAATGCAGCATGGCCCCCCTCATTGCAGAACGGCTCCCCCTCCCAGGCAGAACGGCTCCCCCCCCTCCCAGGCTAAAGGTAAGAAGAGGGGGGACATAACTTTTTGTAAAAATTAGTAATAAAAAAAAAAGTTAAATAAATTCCCTAACAGCCCCCTCACACACAAAGCATCCAGACACACACAGCACCCCCAGACACACACAGCACCCTCAGACACACACAGCACCCCCAGACACACACAGCACCCTCAGACACACACAGCACCCCCAGACACACAAAGCACCCACAGACACACACAGCACCCCACAGACACACACAGCACCCTCAGACGCACACAGCACCCTCAGACGCACACAACACCCTCAGATAGACAGCACCCTCAGACAGACAGCACCCTCACTCCCACACATATACAGCACACAGATATATATATTATATTATATAAAATAACCCTCAGTGAGTTAACAGACAAAGAAAACACCCTCACACACAGCACCCCTCTTACACAAACACACTGCGCACCTCAAACATACAATACGTACAAATATATATATATATATACACACACACACACAGACACACTGCAGCACCTCTCACACTGCACCACTACACACATTACGCTCCAGATACACGCTAGATCCCTTACCCTATATGCACTCTTAATCCTCTACACACACACACACACACAATCTTCTATACACACTCTGGGTCCCTTACACACTAGATGTCTTACACACAAACACTGCACCACCTACACACACTACATTCCTTGTAAGCAAACACATACAACATTCTCTAAACACACCCTCTCTACAACCCCTACACACACTACGTCACCTATACACACACTACTGCCCGTATGCACTCACTCGCTACATCCCCTATAACACTATGCCCCTATACACGCACTCTCTACAGCCCCTAGCCACACATATTACACCACAAAATTGACCTATTTACACAATACCACACCACACTCTACACACAGGCTATGGCAACCGGCCGGGTCTCGCGAGAGTGAACTCTGGAAGAGCATTGAACCAACATGCTCACTTTGAGATGGGGGGACATTGGGGATGACAAAACACACCCTATCTGGCCCCGCCCCCTTTTCAGTAAGCCGCCGTAATTAAAAATGCCCGGGCAAATTTTTTTTCCCAGTCCGGCCCTGATTACAGGAATGAACCCAGAAAAACCCAGCATAAAGAAAACCAGACAGAGAATAGAAAACCAAAAAAACAAGAAAAACTAAACAAGAATTGTAAAAAGAGTACTGGATACCAGAAACCAAAGCCAGACATCTCCGCAGAACATGACATGATGTGACATAACTCCCCTCTTAAGGAGCGACATCTGGGCGCGACAAGCAGCACTCAGGCAGAGACCAGGAAAGAAGCGAGGATCTAGCAACTAAGTCCTCAAGACTTACCGGAGGCAAGGATTCCCCGACACAGCAGGAAAGTAGTTTGCGGCTCACAATGCCATTCCGAACTACTTTACTTCCTTTGGAAAGGTCTCCTGCAAATGAACCACCAGCCAGGACCGAGATCCACTCCAGAATAGGAGCACTGCCACGAAACAGGAACCAAGCATCACAAGAGAACACCTGAAGCAACCACCGTACCGTTAGCAGATCGACCTCCTCCACGACAAAAATAAGGAAGCCATCTCCAGCAGACTGGTCACAATGCCATTCCGAACTACGGCCATACTGTCACGCAGGCCCGGACTGGCCATCGGGCATACTGGGCAAATGCCCAGAGGGCCGCGATGGCCGTGGGGCCGAGGCCAGCAGGGGAGATCACAAGATCTCCCCTGCCAGCCCCTGCAGGGCCAGCGCTATCCGAGCACCGGCCCTGCTGTGTGCCTCCATGGGCCGGTGGGGAGATCAAAGATCTCCCTCACCGGCCCACAGGCAGTTACAGGCGGCCGCTGGCTGGGGAGTGAGGGAGGGAAGAGAGAGGACCCGGCAGAGCTCTAACAAGCAGCTCCGCCGGGTCCTCTCGCGGCATTCTGAGCGTTGCCGCGGTTACCACGACAACGTTCAGATCTCGCGAGAGTGAACTCTAGCCTGCGGGTTAGAGTTCACTCTCACCGCTGGACTACTAGGGAAGGCAGCATGGCCCCCCTCATTGCAGAACGGCTCCCCCTCCCAGGAAGAACGGCTCCCCCCCCCTCCCAGGCTAAAGGTAAGAAGGGGGGGTGACATAACTTTTTGTAAAAATTAGTAATAAAAAAAAAAGTAAAATAAATTCCCTATCAGCCCCCTCACACACAAAGCATCCAGACACACACAGCACCCCCAGACACACACAGCACCCCCAGACACACACAGCACCCACAGACACACACAGCACCCCCAGACACACACCTCACCCACAGACACACACAGCACCCCACAGACACACACAGCACCCTCAGATGCACACAGCACCCTCAGACGCACACAACACCCTCAGATAGACAGCACCCTCAGACAGACAGCACCCTCACTCCCACACATATACAGCACACAGATATATATATTATATTATATAAAATAACCCTCAGTGAGTTAACAGACAAAGAAAACACCCTCACACACAGCACCCCTCTTACACAAACACACTGCGCACCTCAAACATACAATACGTACAAATATATATATATATACACACACACACACACACACACTACAGCACCTCTCACACTGCACCACTACACACATTACGCTCCAGATACACGCTAGATCCCTTACCCTATATGCACTCTTAATCCTCTACACACACACACACAATCTTCTATACACACTCTGGGTCCCTTACACACTAGATCTCTTACACACACACACTGCACCACCTACACACACTACATTCCTTGTAAGCAAACACATACAACATTCTCTAAACACACCCTCTCTACAACCCCTACACACACTACGTCACCTATACACACACTACTGCCCGTATGCACTCACTCGCTACATCCCCTATAACACTATGCCCCTATACACGCACTCTCTACAGCCCCTAGCCACACATATTACACCACAAAATTGACCTATTTACACAATACCACACCACACTCTACACACAGGCAATCCCACAAGCAGGCACCAAACATATGCACCATACACTTTCCTGGCCCTTTTGTCCTCTGGTATCCCTCTTGTGGAGACACCAGAGACAATTTAAAAGCAAACACAGCGCAAGCATGTTATTACATTTGCTTGCGCTGCGCAGAACAAATACAGGGCCTTTTTCTAATGCTAGAGCTCTTCAGCGGGGCTCTGCGCATTGAACAAACATGCTCACTTTCAGAGAGGGCGTACTTGTCATTAGTGATGACAAAACACACCCTCTCTGGCCCGCCCCCTTCTTGGGGGGCAGCTCTAATTGAAAAATGCCCAGGCCTAATTTTTTCCCCAGTCCGGCCCTGCTGTCACGGGTGGCGGTACGGAAACCGGGACCCCTGAGTGCCTGATGAGAAGTGGGAGTCTTCAGCATGGTAATGGACTATCAGGGCCTGGTGCAGGGTAACCACACGTCCTCTGGCGTTGAGCACCAGCGTTTGCGCGGCCACATGATGCAGCTACAGCGGATCCCAGGAACTAGGAGCTTGATATGCAGACCTCCCAGGAACTGGATAGGGGGGCTCTGCAGCAGTCATGTATCCAGTACAGAAACAAGGCAAGGCTAGAACAGGCAACAAACATGAAAACAAGACAGAACTAGTAGAACCCAGAACCAGAGAAAGATAGGAAGCTAAACCCAGAACATGTACACAATACATAAGGGAACATTAAGTAAACAGGGGAAGGACAGGACAGGACTGTACATGGACTGGGTTAACAAAATAAAACAAGACAAGATATAATAGGCAAAACAAGAGGAGACATAACTAAGCACTATATATGACAAGTATGGGGATTTAGTTACATTATATGATCATACATTGCATAAGCCTGCCACAACGCCAATGTACCCCATATTTGGCAGGTCCTACACTGCCTAATGTTCGCTAAAAGAACCATACTAAACCACAATAGCACTTACCTGCAAGAAAGGGCAGAGACTTGAAACACTACTGCAGGTCCAGACTGAAACAAAAGGAAAATGGAAAACAAACGGGTGTGGCAACATAAAACAAACATACAAATGAATCCAGGAGGCTGGGAATTGCAGGGACGGATTACATGAATGAACCCAGAAAAACCCAGCATAAAGAAAACCAGACACAGAATAGAAAACCAGAAAAACCAAGAAAAACTAAACAAGAAATGTGAAAAGAGTACTGGATACCAGAAGCCAAAGACATCTCCGCAGAACATGGCATGATGTGACATCTATACATTATGTGTCATTTTCAAAAGTCAATAAGACAATTTTGAAAAAAGAGCAAGCAACACTTTCTTGCTAATGACAAACCACTAAAATACTCTTTAGATTTACAGAATGTCATATTTTATTATTGTAAAAAAAGTGCTTTTGAAAGAGCAGTGGCCAACTGATCATTATATTTCACCTTTATGTTTCTTT